TTGTTTTCCTTATTCATAAATTGGGATCATAGGTAATAGTAGTGTTCCATTGGACAGTTGAGATTAAATGAGTGATATTTTAAAATACTTAGAATAATAACAAGTACTAAGTGCACAATTACAGCGATTATGGTAATAATTACAATCCTTTAATGAGTAGTGTGTACTGGGTGCTATGACAAGAACTTGCCATACATTGTCTCATGTGGTCCTTGTAACACACCACCCCATTTATATCTGAGAGGTAGATGTGATTCACCTTGAAACTGAGGAAGCCAAGCTTTAGGATCCCTCATTTAACAGATCCCTGTAGAGTAGGGAAGTGCTGGAAACTGTTGTGTTCGGGTGGGTAGAAGCCAGGCTACAATCTGAAGTATTTCTAGTAAGCAAATCTGGTAATTTTGCCTAACGAAATCTCAAAAGAATCTGCATTTCCAAGGCTTCAGCGATTTGTTATTTTAAGTGTTCACTTTGGATCTAATTTTGTGTGTGCATGTGTTTTTAAGTTTGTAAGCTTCAGGTCCCCACAAAACTGGACACAAGCTTTACCAGAGACGTACACAGTTTCACTTTTCATCTTTACATCTTATTATTACATCCTTGCTGGACGTATTTAAGCTATTCAAACTTCCTTTACAGGAGTGGAGAGCATCCAAGTTGAAAGGCTCACTGCTTTTCTGAAGTGGAAGGGGTTTGAGAAAGTCTTAATGGGCTGCAGCAATGTAAATTTAAAAGTCTGGTGCATAACCTTCTTATCTTGAGGTGTGGCTTAATGATGTCTCTTTTATAATCTACGAACATCTTGGAAAAAGGGGAAATTGGCAATACATTTTTTTCTGCAGTCTATTATATTTGAACCTTTGATTTGCAAGAGCAATTTCAAAATAACTTTTCTTTGCAGAGCATGACCGCTGAAGCAAAACCAAACCCAACGATAAGCAGCCTGCAAAGGTTTTGCCACCAGATATCGAAACATCAAAATGTCCACTCAGTGGTTCCTTGTCCTCAGGAATCCTGGGGAGAATCAGATCATCTGAAATAGAAACTCTGCTATTTTTATACTCAATTGCAAATTGGGAAGTCGCCAAGCTTTCGTCTCAGCAATAAGAGTCTTCCTAGGAACCAGATCTAGAATTTATTTATACTTTACACTTTGGGGAAAGGTACATGGGGAGTTCTTTCAGCTCTTGGTGCTTTTCCTTTCCCTGAAGAACCTTTGAAATTACGTTGATATTTTTTGCTTCATCCACCTAAAGAGAGAAGGTCGCAGAGGGACCAGGTTGGCAAGAGCCTCACTCATTTGGGCATCACCAGTATTAATGGAATGGATAATGAGATACGTTGGCCAGGCTACAGTGCCAGACCATGCTGTTTGTTTGCAATTCAAAGCAACAACTAGGCGCTCCCAAGAAAGGGACCGGCTGCAGCCACTTTAGATCTAACTGAGTATTTGTCTCCTGGGCAGAAGAAAATGCCAAAATCAAAAATTGTACACCAGCTTTTCAAATCACCATAAGGTTGCTTCATATGGGATTCCAGGAACATTGTGTGAACACATGCACACAAAGCCTTCTGCAGACACAGGGGCCACTAGACTACCACGGAAAAGCATTGGGAGGTCCCCTCCTGCCAGCCCCTCCCTTTATATAACCCATTCTTTTTTTTTTGGATGGGTAAAGAAAAGAAAGGCATAAGGGGATGATGTTGTGATTATGATTCACTGAGAACAAGAGACTTATTCCTAGTTTCCAATATATTCTTATATCCAGAAGTGTATCTACACTCACGTGCACAATACAATCTTCAAAATACAGTCAGGCAGGAACATTGAAATAACTGTGTCAGAAACACTCATTTAACTTCACTCATCCGTCAGCAGCACAGAGCCCTCTCTTGTTAGGAGGATCATGGAATGGGCTCGACACAGGACACTCTCCTGCACAGGACTGCGCAAGATGACGGGGTTGGATCCTTCATTGACTGATGAACCCAAGGGAGTATGGGTTACATCCCTGATTTTTATTGGGGATGATAAGAGATGACTAAGAGAAAGAAAAGGAAGAAATCTGTGTCTGGGGGGAGCTGTTGATGGAGAAGAAAGTTTTCAGAAATTTTCCACCACCCCGAGGGACTCAGTCAGGGGGAAAAACTAACAGCATGTGCATTTACTCCCACTCTGTTTAGGGGCAGGGCTGTGGGCTTTTGGTTTTCACACAGGAGTTACAGGAGCAGAGACAGGGTCTCATAATGTGTCTAATAATTTGCTTCCAGGAAGGGTCTAGAGAAATAGGGAAAGCTGGATCTGGGGAGCCACCTATAACCCCATTCACTTCAGGGAGAAGAGAATATACAGGTCTTTTATGTGGTTTGACTGTAGCATCAAATCAATTCAGAGAGATACACGACTTTATAACCGACTAGCTTGAAAGGGATAGAGAAAATGACTTAAAAATATTAAATAATTAAATAAATGTCAATTACTGCCAAGCGAGGTGGAGTCTGCTTGTAATCCCAGCCACTTGGGAGGCTGAGGCAGAAGGATCACAAGTTTGAGGCCAGCCTCAGCGAGTTAGCAAGACTTTGTATCAAAATAAAATGTAAAAGGGGTTGTAGATATAGCTCAGAGGTACAGCACTCCTGGGATCCACCCTTAGTACTATAAACAAACAAACAAAGTCAATTACTTTTTTGAAATTAAATAGGTTGAAAGTTTGGAGGACACTAGCTGTGGCAACTGAATCTCAGTAAGGCGGTTTCCAAATGTCAAAATTATGAACAATTCCAGGAAAAAATAAGACAGTGCACTCTCTTTACTGTATTCAACAGTACTTACTAGGCACTTGCTTTAGATGCTCACGGGTTACTTTTGTGTCCCAATTTTAGCTTTAGTTTCAGGCAATGCTTGGTCTTTGGGAAATTTTAACACCTCTGTGTGGGGACTGTGTGTATTCTATTATGAAGACTTAAAATTGTACAGCTATATAAGGAAGTAAATTTCTTCATGGAAGCCACAATATGAGGTTGCCTTAATGATTTTTTGTTATTTTACTAAAATTATAATACATTTTTTTAGAATAAGGTTTAGGAACCTTAGAATAAGGTTTAGAATAAGGTTTAGGAACAAATTCACTGTAATAACATTATTCATGAATTCCTAAAACAATATTATTGAATACCAGGGTATATACAATGTCACTATTAGGTGCTTAGTACCAGTTTCTCTCACAAAGTTTCTAAAAGACTCCATGAGACTGTGTGACTCAAAAGAATGCAAACTGCTATAGATATATGGTATATTAGTTTTATATACATAATACATATAAATGCCACATATATACCTATATATGTGTATATGTATCTATGTATATACTATTTTTTTATATTCATGAATGAATCACAAGCATTCCACTGTTCTCCATCTGGAACTATTTAATAGTTGCTACCATTTTCAGGGTTTTAAGTGCCATTAGTTTTAAGTGCTATTGTGCTTTATAACATCCCATTTAATCCTTACATGAACCTCAAGAGATGGGACTCTTCTACATCTTACAAGATGAGGACACATGAGGTGAAGAAACCTGATAAGGATCCCAGTAACAGAACAGTATTAGAACTGGGGCCTACTTGAACTCAGTCCTGGTTGTCTATAAAGCCTGTCAACTCATTCTGTTTTCTATAATGTTCAAAAAATAGATTTTTTTCAATTATATTATAGTTAAGCCTTGTTTGTATGGTATTATGAAAAATCAAGCAGTTTCAAGGACCATCAAATAGAATTACAGCTTCTGCCAATTCGAGTCATCAAGGGAAACAGCAATTGTGGCTCTGGGCTGTGCCTGGTTTTCCCTACAGCGGGGGCGGGAGGGGGGGGCAAGGCTGCTCTCCCAGCTCGCCTGGCCTGACCATCATGACTTCTGCCTTGCTTTTTGATCATGATGTTTTCCATTCTTCTCCCTTATCATCACTTTTCCCATCTGTTCTTATGTTTGCAATCTGCTGAGGCCAAATAAACCAAACATACCAGAACACAGGTACCTAAGGCACTGGTTCTACAAGTACAGCATCTATAACTCTCCTGGTGAGCTTGTTCAAATGTAGATTCTTTAGGGCTCAGGATGTGAGCAGTAATGGTTGCCTCCCTGGCCACTACATCTCTGCTTTTGTGTAGGAGAAAGCTGAAGACTGAGGACCAGAGATGTTGGCTACTCCAAGATTATAGACCCAGATGTGAAAGTCCATTTTTATTAACACTGAGATTTTAGTCTATGGCAGGCATAGTTGAGTTAGTTGAGATTATCGTGTGTGTTGAACATCCCCAGGTAATTTGAGGTACTAAATATATTTAGAGCTACATAGTTTCAATAACTGAAGTCCCCCCCTTTACTAGATTTATTGAACAAAATGGCAACCAGAAGAGTCTGAACGTATCATAAAAATGACAAACTCCTCAAACCTTACTTTAGTTTGCCAGAATTTCTTACAGGACATCAGACATCCAGTCCTTACAACAGTGTGACTCCTAGTGTTCTGCTAGTTATATATGACTAACAAATCACCTGACCAGTCCAAGCTGCAGCTCTTGGCTCCTCTTTAAGATGCAGGTCCTAGTACCTACTTCTCAGGGCTGCTGGGAGCTTGAGAGAGAATACATAGCAAGTACCTGGCAAGCACCAAATGCGAGGATAATTTTCAAATGTACTTATTATTTATACAACGTCCAGTTGTAACTATCAGAAAAGTTTTGTGACTCTTTGAGGGGACCATATTCTTATATCACAGAGAAGCACAGTGGAGTGTCCTCCTTTATAGTGTAGGGGGATATATCAAACCTCATTTGTAGTATCTCACCCTTACTTTAGCTGCTTCAAACAGGATTGAAGTAATCATCTCTGTGTCACCATATAGGGAATGTGAAGAAACCAACAAGACTGTGCTGTTTTAAATATTAGAGCCTAAATATTTATGAAATAGTATTACCTTGGTGGAAGAAACAGGCATACTAACATGAAAAAACACATTTTATTGCACTTAAGTTATAAGAAAATAAAATTTCTAAGTGAATCAAATCAAAGACACAATCCCTTTAAAGGTTGTTTTCCTCCATCATGTCAGGTTGTTACATAACTAAAATTAACCAACTTGAATCTGATTGTTTTAAATCAGACTATAAATAAAACAACAACAACAACAAAAAAAAATAAACAGGAGGAGGAAAAAAGACCGCCTAGGATACAGTGTTAAACCACTTTCACAGTTCAGCTTGAGTCGTGGCTCCTGGAGAAGGAGGCGAACCATTGGACTTGTCACTCGGCGCGCTGGTTTGCGCGTGACGCCGTCACTAGAGACTGAATCGTTCCTTTTCTGTCAGTTACTCAGAGCAATAAAACTGTAACAGTTGTTTTCCCAAATACTGTAAAACACTAAGACTGACCAGCAACTTTATTTTAATTTTTAAAATATTCTGTCAGTTTTCTCATGTCCGTTCATCCATTCACCACAGCCCTCAAAAAGAAAAGTTTCTCCGCAGAACAGGCGGTAACAGCTCTGTTCCAAGGAATGTGTTTTAATTTTGCCCAGATAAAAGAAAATAAGCTTTGCACACACTCTCGATTCTTTACTTGCAGGCAAACTTCACTCTTTATTATCTGAAACTCTCCCATTCTCAGCCTCTTAGAGGCACAGATGGTTCAAGTTTCAGTGGCAAAAAGTCTTTTTTCTGTAACCAAACTAGAGCAAATTTGGAATTCAGTCTGGGACTAAAACGTCACAGCAGAAAAAAAATAAAAAAAAATAATTTGCTTTTTTTCTTTCTTTCATTTAGCAGCATAAATAAGTTTGGCCACTGGGAGTACAGTACAGGGGTGGGACAACAATCCCATATTTGAAGACCTACTTCTAGCACCAGCATCAAGAATTAAATCCATCTCAGGACTCACAGAACCCAGGACAACTTGCCACCTTTGAGCAATATATGCGTTGAAGAGTGAATATGGAAGCAACAGTAAATAGATTAACAGAGGCTAATACTGTGATTGATTGACATTGGCAATGGTTGGCAAAAAAAATAAAATAAAAATAAAATAAAAAAAAAACTTTTCATGATACCTGTACAAAAACAATTCACAGTATTTTTTTTCTTTCTTTTTTTTTCCTAGCTTTTCCACTGGAGAATCTTTTGTTGTGGTTGTTGTAGATGCTCTCTGATTAGAAAGTCAACCAGTACTTGTTTTGATATTATTGCAGCTCCTTTCTAGGTGACAGTGGCAAAAGAACAGGCGAGCAGAATTGGTAACGATGTTTCAGCATAACACTGCCCAACAACCACTGGAGAAGAAAATAAAGAAATAATTGCACCTGGTTTTTAGAAAGTCTCTTTTGCAAAGCTGCCCTCAATCAGAAGTGAAGCCTTTTATGTGATGAGACAGCAGACGCCTCTCTTGTCAGTTACGGTTTGTCTTCTCTTCCTCTTTTCCATCCTAGTCTGTAGGTCTTTTCAATCTGTTGCCCCAAGCCAACATCCTGCACCACTGAGTACAAGGGATTTTTTTTTTCATTTTCTCTTCTTTTTTCTTTTTTTCTGTTTTTTCTTTCTTTCTTTTTTAAATTTTTATTTATTTTTTATTTTTATTTATTTTTTATTTATTTTTTTTGCGCAGGGGAAGGGAAGGGAGTATATCGTCTACACAAAATTTGTCTTCTCTGCTCTTCACTTCATGTCCACATCAAAGTCCAGCACCAGCAGCTTGGTTTCTTCAGTTCCATTCCGACTCCCGACTGCACACACCAGCTTTGTGTTGGAGGCTCTGATCCGCCACACAACTCCCCCACTACCCCCACTCTCCAATGTGACTAGGTTTCGAATAAATTCACCCGTTTTCAAGTCCCATAGTTTTACAGTTCCATCATCTGAGCTGGTAATTACAAAGTTCTTGTTGAACTGTAAACAGGTCACAGCACTCTGATGCTTGTTGGGACCTAGACAAAACCAAAGGAATTTGATTGCTGGTTAGAAATCAAGGATATGGGTTAGTTACATTATAATTTGCAGACTTCTACATTAGAATATACAATAAATGCAACATTTAAAATGTTACATATTTAGAAACTTTGTTATGAGTATTTTAGGATCAGCATGGATGTAAGAAAATCTGGCAGCTATCTGTAACTATAACATTAACTTTCAAGAGTTCTGTCTTCCAGGAAGCCTGGTTAGCTACCAGGCACACATTTTATTTTCTGGCTGTGTGAATAAGAGCATTTGCTGGCAACGATGTAGGCACTGCAGCTTCATATGTTCTGCTGAGGGACAAATGAGCCTAACAGATTTATCACCACTTGGAACTGACCAAAGATGAAAGCTGAATGGATACTATTATCAATCTCTGAGGAAGAGGTAAAATCAACCAACAACAAGCTGCAAAGTTGCCCGCCACATGGCCTCAATGAAAAGACTCTAAGGGTTAGCACCAAAGGGGGAAAAAAAAAAGATCATCATGAAGAAGTTACTGTTGGTATATCTCATCTGCTATTAACAATTCTCACATGTACCTGTCTATTTCAATGGGAACTATTATTCTATTCCATTCCAGTTTAGCAGGTGGCTAAGTGGAAGTCAAAGCAATTTTCTATCAAAGATGTTTAAATTCAAAATAAAATAATCACTCCACAACTAAAATGAGTATGTTGCTTCTGTGAGACAGCCAAGAACGTTCTTTCTTCTCACTGTTCTTTAAGGTTAGGTTGAGTCAAGTAAACAGGTACGAAGTACTTCAACCATTTTATATTAAAACAACTTTAAACACTTTTTCAAGGGTGCCTAGTGGTGTGAGAGTGAACATTATCATAAACATATCTGGAGCAAGCATTTCTGCCTGAGCAGCAATCACCTTTTTAATGAACACAATTAAAGGTGGATAGCCAACACTTACCTTGCAATGTTTGTAAACACTGTCCTGTTTTGATATCCCAGATTTTAACTGTAGAATCTGCATTCCCAGAGACAAGAATATTGTCTTTGAGTTCCATTCCACTTGTTAATGACTGGTGCCCTGTTAATGTGTGAATGCAGTTCCCTGTCTCCACATCCCAAACTCGGATTGATGTATCAAGAGATCCACTCACCACATGGATGCCATCAAACTACAACAGAAACAGCTTATTAGAGCAGCAGCAGTATGGATATGCTTCCTATCAATAGGGGAGGAGGGGACAGTGTGGGCAACATGCAAGGCCAAGAACAAAACAGGGCACTAGGACTAAGGGGCAACCACGGTGAAATGAATGTCATCAAGAAAGGATACACTGCAGGTTCTCAGGCACATCTATCAGAACGCTTGCATTTTATGCCCAGTAGCTTCAAAGTAGATGCAGAAATAACTTACAAAGAACACAAAATGCCTAATATGAACATTATTTTTGGATCACCTAGTCCTACTTAGTAGCTATGTACCATGGATGATTCAATGAGGATTCCTTCTGCATTTTATTTCCCCACAGGAAGTTGCACCTAATGACATGGCTTACAATAAAGAGGGTGCTGATTAGTACCTGAATCATGAAAAGGGCTAGAGGTAACTTGCTTGATGGTCACAAGAAAGTTTTATTAAAAACTGCATGTAAAATAAAAGTTTCATTTACAAGAACATAAAACTAAATAGGAAATATGCCAAAATATAATTGTATCTGGAATTAGAAAGGGTAGCATTTTGATAACAAAAGCAAGATATACAGCATTTCTTCTCCAGCTTCCTAGCTATACCAGGTTCTGAGCATATCACAAAACAAAACAACAACAACAACAACAAAATGCAGCTAATTCCCTCTGCTTCAAATTCATCACCTTTCCTATTTTGACAAACATGTTTACAGTGTATCAATATTACATGGTGGGAACAGTATCCTATCAGTTAAGAAACAAATACCTTAAGAACAGAACAGCAATGTCAGTACTGGGATTATGTACTAATTTGCTGATCATTAATGGGTGGTAACTAGTAAATAACTATTTAAGCAATAGAAGCTACTTTTAAGTTGAAAATACTGCCTTTTAGGAACTAAAACTATTAGTCTAGTCAGTTATCTTGAAATTTAACAACTATTCATGGATGTCAGGTTCAAATGTTAAATAAACAAAAAATCAGGTGAGTCAAAGTTACTTCTTATGACTGCAAATCAGTGGCCCTGGGACAGTGGAATAGCTTTATACAGAAAGGCTCCACTTCTACTCTGAATGGGGATGTAATCACAATTACATGGTCCATCAACTTTTAACTATCAAGGCAAAGGGACAGCTTTTGGCCAAATTAATCATCTGCTAAGAAGTTTATTAAAATCCAGGTTACTCTCCTATGAGACTACTTATTAATTAATATAGCAAACTTAGGGCGGCAAAGTCTCAAGTTCCAAGACAAGCATGTGTATTTTAGAGGGAGAATGGAGCACAGAAATGTACTTCATGCTAATTTTGAAGTACATGTAAATGGCAGATTAACTGGATTCACCTTTTTTGGACAGTATTGGATCAGTAATTTGACAGTGATTATCCAAGGAAAATAATCTTATGACTCATCAGCAGAGCATCTAAGAGATGGGGAGATAAGATCTCTTACCTGTAATGAATAGACTCTATTGGTATGCCCCTGCAACGTGTGTAGACAGGTCTCAGTCTCTGGATCCCATACCTTCACCATAAAATCATATGCTCCACTAACAACCCTCCTGCCATCATACTGAACACAGCGGACTGCTGCTACATGACCCATCAAGACATGTAAACACTGGCCTGTCTCAATATCCCAAACCCTAAGGGTGGCATCTCGAGAACCGCTAACGACTCTGTAAAGAGATAAAAAGAAAAAAAAATTTTTTTTAAATTTTAATAACATCAGAAAACGTGACAGATGAAGTCAATGTTTTTTAAACTCTTTTTTCTTTTCTTAAGCAGGAACACATGTTTTCACACGAAATCCTATGCAAAACCTTGATTCATAAACACGGTATTGAGTTATTCTGATTGGAATAGGACGTGGGAAAGCCAAGAATATATTCAAAACTAGGGCCAAGTCTACTTAGTAAAGAAGATGCTATGGACAGAATTTAAGGTGCAGACTGCAGTGGATAGGGCCTGGAGATGTAGCTCAATGGTATTTAGTACTTGCCTAGCATGTGCAAGGCCCTGGGTTCAATCCCAGCATTGGGTGGGGGAGGGGGATTGCTCCTGAAGACTGCAATGAATTCACTTCAGGAGATTTTTTTTTTTTTTTGACAAATGAAATAGAAAACACATTTGCTTGCAACTTCCCCTATGAAAGCATTATTGACATTCCTCAAAAAACTAAGAATGGACCTACCACATGACCCAGCTAGACCTCTTCTTGATATTTATCCAAAAGAGCTAAAGTTAGCATACTATAATGATATGTGCATACAAATATTTACAGCAGAGCAATTCACAATAGCGAAGTTATGGAATAAACCTAAGTGTCCCTCAATAGATGACTGGTCAAAGAAAATTTGGTATACATACACAAAGGAATTTACTCAGCCATAAAGAATGGATTTATGTCATTTACTGGTAAGTGGATGGAACTGGAGAAGATATTGGTAAGTCAAGGGTCAAAAGTTCTCTCTCACATGCTAAACCTAGAGAGAAATAAGAAATCAAAAAGAAAAGAAAGGGGATCTCATGAAAATAGAAGAGAGAATGGTGTAGTAGAGGAAGGGGATAGAGGGATAGAGGGCAGATGGCAAAGAGGAGAAACTGAGAAATGAAATTGACTAAACTATGTTATGTGCATGTATAAATATATCACAATGAATTCCAGTTTTATGTATAACTATAATGCACCAATTAAAAATAAATTTTAAAACACATTTACTTAATAATGAAGACATCAACAAAAACACGGATTTAACAGGATGTGTTCCAGGAGGAGAAAAGAGCCAAGGAGGAGAAGGCAAGCAGTCCAGTTTAGCTGAAAGGATTGTGAAAACTACACTGAGGATTTTTTCCTTTAACAGTAGCAACCGTAGCCTCCCAGAGATGTAAGAAGAGCACAGTGATGCTACCATAATTATAGAAAGGCTCCCTGTCAGCTGTAGAAAAGATGAGATGGCCATGTCTGAAAACTATGGCTACAGTTCTAAGGACAGGAAATGAGAAAATAACCCACAGGCCTTAGATTTTTTCTTAATTTAGGGGATGTGATACAGTGAGGTGAAGGTGAGTGGATAATTAAAAAGATGCAGAGTTTTAAACTGAAGCCTAAGTGACTGAATTTGTTCCATCTGCAAAAACATGAATATCCAGAGAGAAAACAATTTTTGTTTAAAGATGGTGAATCATCAAAGAATAAGAAAACGATTAGGGAGTAGAGTCTCTGAGGGAAGCCCAGGAATCAAATGAAGGAGGAATCTGAAAGACGAACCCCCAATTTTAAGCCAATATGTTATGGCTTTCTCAGTTTAGAAACAGCTACAGTCTAATAATCAAAGTCTAATTTAGGAGTTCATTATCACAATCTCAATAATGTTACACAGAAAGGAAGCAAATTCACAAGTGACAGAGGAAAAAGTCCCGACCATGTTGGATTTTCCCTTTACCTTTTCTCATGGAGATGCATGCAGCGCACAGTGGAAGTATGCCCATACAGGGTGTGTATGCATTCCCCCGTCTCCGCATTCCACACTTTGAGAGTTCGATCTGTGGATCCACTAATGATGATATTGTCTCTCATCTGTGATGACCATACTCCACCTGTATGTCCCACTAACGTTCTCAGACACTGGAAAAACACTTAGGGTGGTTAATTTTCGGGGGAAAGGAAAGTAATTTAAATGCTATTATAATAGCTCATTAAAATCTGTAATAAGTTATTTATCAATTTGATAAAGCATCAGAAAAAAATATTTTATTCAAGACTACAATAAGACCTCACTAGTCTATACTGCTTTGTTTATTCAGTAGAATAACATACTTAAATATGCACACACAACTGAGAAACAAATATGTAGAAAGCAACCATTGATATGAAACATATGATAAGAATCATACAATATAAAACATGTGATACAACAGAAAGCAAACATATGAGATGAAAGCAAAGCATGATAGTTCCAGCCTGGCCTCCTTGATGAAATAATACTAAAATTGCAACTTGGTTTCTTCCATGGGAATAGATTCAATGAAAGAAAGCCAACAGAGTTGGGTGTGGCTACATACCACAGTTTATCTGAATATGCCCCAAGCAGTAGTTAAGAGCTAGCCAAGCTACTTCAAGACAAGTAAAGACAGACATTAAAACCTTGAAATAAATCCAAAACTAATATTACCCCATGGAAATATGAAGCTGCTTTAAAAAATTTTAACATCTGACTTGGAATATTTATAAGATTCTTGTCCAAGAAGCAATATGGTAAAGACATTTTGTAAAACATGAATTTTTTTTTCACACTCTTCTGTTACTTTTTAGGTGGCCAGTTACTTAATTCATGAAAATATTCTCCTGTAGATGATAACAATAAATATTCACTAGATAATACTTAAGGTATAATATTACATGAAGTTAAGATATTGCTTGGTCTTTTTTCTTCAAACCCATATTTAAATATCCATTCTGCTTAACTTCCATATCATGAGAGCTTGAGATAACTCTAGATGAGCAAGATATACTAAATTATAGGCAACTTATCAACAAAACAGGTTACAAGGAAAAATAAATATCACTCAATCATGTTCTTGAAAGATATTTAAAAATTATTAAGTATAATTTGATGGGAAAGGTGGGAAAAACTGAGCTATGAAAAAGAAAACACATCTGAAAAATTTTAAAATACCAGTCAGAAAAACAGACAAACTATTTAAATGAAGAAAAATATGACATCCCTATCAAGGAAAACATCACTATCATCATGCTGGGGAGACTTTCATTATTATGGGGGAGCTAAGTTAGGATCAAAACAGGATCCTTGCTTTACTGGTTGATCCTGTGGTGATATAAACACAATGGCAAATTTATGAGGTGTAGAAAGAAGTAAACTTACTTTGCCTGTGACTGCTGACCAAACTTTTAAAGTGTTGTCATCAGAACCACTAACTATTCGGTTACCACAAAACTGTAAGCATGTGATCACATGATCATCGTGTCCTTTCAGCACCTATCAAACAGATGTATAAATCAGAAATAAGCCATTATATTATGTTTTTAAAATACCAGTGAAAAGACAAATGAAGCCAAAAATGGGAACAACAACATCATCTAGTTCTAGAATTAAAATCTACAGGGCTAGGTTATGGTTCAGAAGTACAGCGCTCACCTAGCACATGCTAGGCACTGGGTTCAATCCTCAGCACCACATAGAAATAAATAAAATAAGGGTATTGTGCCCAACTACAACTAAAAAATATATATCTATATTAAAAAAATCTACATATAATATGCAGCATTATCCTTCCTAAATAATGAATCAAGCATTAAACATTTTATTATTTCCATATTCTATTATTTGTGTAACTGAAATGTCTACTATTAAAATACTAAGCCAAGATCTCATAAAGATGGTTTAAACACAAATACATTTTATGATCATCTATTTTACCTATTTAACCCCCCCCAATGCATCTTATTTTTGCAATTTTAATACACAAGAACAAAAGAAAGCACCTACTAACTAGAAAGACAATAGTAATAGTCATCAGCTTTTTCAAATTAAAACAAAGAAACTTACCATGGTGTATATATGTTAATACAGAGTCTCCCCCAATGTTTTTTTATTATAAAAATATATTTAAGAATTTTAACATTTTTACCACTCTTACATACTTAAAACACAATGTAGAAATATACAGAATATCAGAATTATGCTTCAATTTATAAAGATATAACACAGAAAAGCCACCAAAAATCAAAATCTAGGTCCTTAAAAAAAAAAAAATCACATTTGGAGTGTAGTCTTAGGGGACTGGCAAATTCTGAGGGAGAACGTATATAAGACAATAAAATTCAAAAGGATATTCAGAGATTTTCATTTACATAAGAGAGAAAGACAATCAATTCACCTGAATTCATCTTTTACATAAATATCTCCAGTTATTTTAAAACACAATTTTCTTTCCACAGAAGATATGCATGAAGTTATACTGCTCACCAAGAAGTAAAACAATACATTAGGTATTACACCATAGAGTAATAATTTCTGTGGAAGAGTCCAGTTACCTTAGGAGATTTGAGTTCTCCTCGCCTCCAGTTTGTATCAATTCTGTGCTGTCTGATGTATGCACTTTTCCACGGACTGTGTATGAAACCTGGTTTTATAACTTTTCTTCTCTTGATATGCAATGGTTCATCAATCCCTAAAGTACCAAAAGAATTCCAAGAGAATAATTCTCTTCATCAACAGTACAAATTTCATATTTAACAATATATCTCATTTTTCTCTATGCTCAAAACAAAAAAATGCAGGACACTGTCCAGTTTCTGTTATAAAGTATGCAATAATAATGTAGACTTCACATTCTATATGGCATATTTTTGTATTCACTATTTCATTTCTTTCTCATAATGATTCTAGGAAATGCTGATGAGGATGTGTAAAAATTGGAATGTTTGTACCCTGCTTGTGTGAATATAAAACGGCTTAGCTGCTGTGGAAAATAATTTGACAGTTGCTTAAAAAAATTAAATATACAAGTAACATATGATCTAGCAATTCTAGTATTGAGTATAAACCCAAAATAATTAAAAGCAGAGACTCGAATAGATGTCTGTACAAAATAGTTAAAAGCTGGGAGCAATGCAAGTGTCCATTGACAGATAAATGGATAAACAATGTGGCATACACACATATGGAATATTATTTGATCTTAAAAAAGGAGATACTGTCACATGAGTGAACCTTGAAGACATTATGTTATATGAAATAAAGCAATTACAAAAGGACAGATATTGTGTTTTTTTTAACCAAAGGTACCTAAACTAATCAAATTTATAAAGACAAATTGTTTGTCAGGTGCTAGGGGGAAGGCGGAATAGGAGTTAATGTTCAATGGGTACCAAGTTTCAGCTAGATAAGACGAAGCAGCTCTGGAGATGGACAGTGATGGTGGCACAACAATGCCAGTGTACTTAATAGCACTAAATTGTACACCTAAAAATGGTTCAAATGATAAATTTTATTATGTATGTTATGCAATTTTTTTGAAGAGTTTAAAATATGATTCTTTGAGAGATGAGGCAGAGTTGATTAATCCTACCTTATATATATGCATACACGAGAAGAATAATTTCATTGATTAATCCAAGATCCAGACAGGGGTCTGATAGAATCAGGATTAGAAATCAAGTGTGGAGCTTCACCTCAAGGCATTATTAACCCAGACCAACCATCAATGCTCTCCTTGACTATATAGTTAGGGAGTCCCCCCCATATGGCTACCCATACCTCTAGGATTCTTTCACAAAAATGTTGCTTCTCAGAGGCAAATGATATTTTTACATATTTTTTTGTCCAAATGATTCATTTTCTAGAAGGCTGCTGGGGAAAAATACTCCCTTTAATATGGATGATGCCTACTCTTCTACTAAAACAGATTTTCTGATTTTAAACAGGTTCTAAGAATATAAGCTCCAGGACAGGAAAAACAAAAACAAAAAAAATCAAAAAGGCAAGATGCTTCCATATCTTCAGCATTTAAGAATGTCTAGCTCACAGGAGGTATTCAATAAATATTTATGACGAAAAAAATAGAATACTCAATGCTGGGTATTTAATTGATAATATAATTTTTGGGTTGCCTTTAAATCATCCTCATCTTGACTCTTTCCCTTAAATGAAGATCCATTCTTTGATAGGCTACCAAAGTTCTCTTTACTCATTTATCCACCACTTTATTCTAGCTGCACATAAAACTTGTTTTTATTTTGTCTACTTGTTCTCAGAATTACTTTGCCTTTTCAAAGCATAAGCATATTCTCTGTGCAATTTTGAACCTTACCCTCTTCTCTGCATTTCTCTCTCCAGAGAAGGTTGTCTTCAGCCAAAATTCTCCAGTAGCGACACGTCTGAGCTGCTTGTAGCAGGTCTTTGGGTTCCAGGAATGAAAGCACATAAAGTGCCAGCTATTGAACAGAAGAAAAACATAGTATACCCATATATATATATTTTTTAATTATAGAACTAAAGGTTAATTATTCTCCACAGGATAAAACACTTAGATATAAGTGTAATTACATTATAATTTGTAAAATTATGATAGACAGTAACTCCAATTTTAACAAATATAAACTAGATTAGAAACAAAAACACCCTCTTGGCTTTTATGAATTTCACTGCATTAACTCTTTATCTCTTTATACAATAATGATTAAACCTCTGTCTCTGTTCTTGCCTTTGCTCTGTGAACCTCACCACAATAAGTTTAATTTTTATGTAATTATATATACTCGTGTTCTCTCCCCTCTACAATGCAAGTTCACTGAAGACAGAACCTGAGGCCTTCCTGATAGCCTGACTGATAAGAAATGAGAGTTCTACATAATTTTTTATCATTTCAGATAGGCAGATATCACAATTAGTGATTCTTCATCACATCAAACTATTTATCACAATGAAAAACTTCTAAAACATTTACACACTTGACTATAAATGACAAAATGAGACAATTATTAAGTCATTCCACAGACACATAAAAGTAATTGGGTTCTAATTACTTTACATTGCTTATGGGGATTTTCTTGATGGGTCACATAGAGTTGTATATTTCAGCTAGCTCTTTGGATTACTATTAATTTAAAATATTTGTTTATAATACTTGCAAACCATCAATTTTTTTCCATTGTATGAAGCCAATTCAAGTAAAGAAAAAGGAAGGAAAAGAAGTGAAGTGATGGCCTTTGACCATGTTTATTCAAGTAGCCTCACACATCACATACAAATTTAAATTACAATATTAGAATGAAAATTTATCAAAAGTCTAGTTTTTATAAACTAAATGGCAAGGATTAAGTCAAACTACCATTTAAAGTGCCAAAGATTACATAGGAAGTGAAAGTATGATTTGAATTATTTTTCAAAGCTAAATGAGAATTACATGATTTAAATTAAGGTTTCCTAATGATTATATATATATATATATATAAATATGGAGTTCACTTCTAATCACATACACTCTGAGCACATTCTGCATACAAAACACTCCACCTAGACAGTACTAAGCTTAATACTACTATTGATGAATAAAAGTGAAACACTTTTCTTGAATTAATTGATTCTATCAGAAGATCATTCTTACCTACACATACCAAGTTCATTTAAATTAAAAGGTCATGATTATATTCAATAACCTATATATACATGTGTATATAAACATGTGTGTACATACATCTCTCAACATTTTATTTGATTAACGGGTACTCTACAAGCCACTTAATTTTAAAATTACCCATCAATCAAAGCCTAGGCAAGTTTGTTTAGTTTCATTGTAACAGTAATGTGATGTTACCATATTATTAATCTATGTGAAATTGTAATTCAATATAGATATTGTCCAGCACAAAGATGCTTGTGCAAAAGAGATGCTGATTAATGTCCAAGATATTATAATGGTTCACATGAAAAAGTCTATTCTTTATCTTGAGTTATCAGACTGAAGTAGAAATCAAGTAATTTACAGAAACATTCAATTCATCTTAAAGGCTAGGGACAAGGAAGCAAGAAATTAAGAATAGTTGAGAATTCAAAAGTACCTCTTCAAACCAAAAGGAAAAATTTCCTTCTTTTCATCCAAGTCCAGTGTTTGGATGCATTAGAAAAAGGCAAAGCAACACTCAGGTGCTAAAGAAAGCTGAAGTGCTAGTGTAATAGGTAACTGACATACTGTCTTTTAAAGGAGCAGAGGCTCCAATTCAACCTTGAACTTGCAATTATTAAATGTTTGTCAATTTACATACAGCTAGTTCAATTGAAACATATAGCTAATAGAGAAACTATTCAAGGCAAAACAGAAAACTATGAATAAAAAAGCCAGGAAAAACATAAATCAGCAAAGAAGGTTTAAACCATATACTAGCAACAGTGTCTTACATGGGTTTTGAGTTAAACTGTCAAGTAAAGAGGGAACAACTATAAGTTATATGATCCTAACTGTGTATTACGGAGAAGTATACCAATTCCTCAAAGGAATCAAGGTTCTGTCATACGGGGCTCTGAAATGGGTCTGAATGTTTGTGTCCCCTCAAATTCATGTTGAAATTCTAATTCCCAATGTAATGTTTTTAGGAAGTGGGGCTTTTTTGTAGGTCATCAGAATGAAACCCTTAGGAATGGAATGAGTACCCTAGAAAATGAACCCAGAGAACCCTCTTACCCTCTTTCAGCCACACCTTATGAGGATACAATGAGAAGACAGAAGTCTACAACCTGGAAGAGGGCCCTCGCCAAAACTCAACCATGCAGGTGCCCTGATACTGGACTTCTTAGCTTTCAGTACTGTCAGAAATAAATTTCTGCTTATAAGATGACCAGTCTGTGATACTTTTTACAGTAGCTTGAACTAAGACAGGATCCTTATTAGGGGACAGAGACCATAATTTTATACTTTAGAGGTGGCTAATACTTTCCCAGGCTTGCTATATTTCAGTGTACTGTCAAGGAAAAAAAATTTAAATGAACAAAGAGAATGTTGGCTAATCCTACATCAAGAATATCAGGTTTTGTTCTAGATTATCTATTATACCACTATGATTCCCTTGGTATTTACTCACAAAATAAGGAGAGTGCTATTTAACACAAGCTTCTCTTATGACACTAGTGCCATTTTTGTCAAGGTTTTTCAGATTAGTAAGTAAATGTTGGTAAATAGCTTTGAGATCTTCCCAAATAATTGTAAGAAAAACACTATAATTCCATCTCCTGTCACAGAGGTAATAATGTTTTAAATAATGATAATACTGAGTCTCTGGGCAAGATAAAGCTAATTAATTTAAGGGCAGATCTATGCCATTATTTCTTCATGTATAAAATAAAGCATTTTTCAAATTAGGAAGCATTCTGTAGTTGAAAACAAAAGGAAAAACACAGATAATATGCTAAGCTAAGGATCTCTCTTATTCTCCTCTCTAGCTTCACTTCTTTATCCTCAGGCAACTTTTAAAAGAACATTTAAGCCAACAGAATCTTTACTGGATTTACCCTTGATATTGATAATTTGTGCTAAGTTCTTGGACTCTTTAAAAATACTTTCAAAATTCTATTGAGTTTAAATCACATTTTTGTGTATTAAGAAGTTACTACAGAAATGAAAATAAAGCAAAGCAAAACATACAAACAAAAAAACCCCTCTCTATTCTCAGAGATAAGGGAATAAACTAGACTCTGAAAACTGCATTTTAACAAAAATGCTACCCTCCAAAGTAAGGAGGATATCAAAAGAAACCACAAAAAATATATCAGAGGTGAGTACATTTACTTTCAGTCAAATACTTATGAAAGTGTTTCCTTTTATTAATGCCCTTCTGGAAGCAAAGAGAGCTTATGTCACTTTTATAAGCCAAATCTATTGAGAAGATTCAGTTTTAGAAAGAACTACCAAGAATAAGAATTTTTTTCTGAAACAATGTCATTTTAACAAACACTCCAAAGAAAAAACATTTCAAGAAATTGATATTGTATCAATTTTGCTTTTCCCTGAAGTTATGCTTAAATATAATACTATTTTATTCATAACCAATGTAAAATTATAATTGGCACTATTTAATATTGTTAGGGTATTTAGAATGATCATCTGAAAAAAAATCAACTCCTTTTCTGTTCAAACTTGAAGCTTCAGGATAATTTAAAATGGTTTACTACTATTTTATATTGTCTTCTGGGTGGACATATAATTAATGGCATGATAATTGGTACAAATATAAATCATGGGGACATCAATTATTTAATGTTATATTATTTGTCTGCTGTCAAAAATGAAATTATGAAATCTATAACATCAATAACAACACTATATCTTCTACTATACCTTGTTCAGTCAAGAGTGCCCATATGACAATAATCAATCCATGACAAAAGAATAATATCAGTTTACACAAAAACCAAAAAAGATGCCAGGTGCAGTGGTACATGCTTGTAATCCCAGCAACTCAGGAGGCTGAAGCAGGAGGATCCCAAGTTCAAAGCCAGCCTCAGCAACTTAGCAAGGTCATAAGCAATTCAGTGAGACCCTGTCTCTAAATAAAATATAAAAAAGGGCTGGGGATGTGGTTCAGTGGTTAAGCGCCTCTGTGTTCAATCCCTGGTACAAAAGAAAAGAAAGAAAGAAATGGGCACAAATAATTCCAAAAAGTGCTATTAAGAATGCAACTGGGGGGCTGGCTGGTGGCTCAGTGGTAGAGCGCTTGCCTAGCATGTGTGAGGCACTGGGTTGGATTCTCAGCACCATATATAAACAAATAAAATAAAGGTCCATCAACAACTAATAAAAATATTTTAAAAAATGTAATTGATATGGGTGTATGTTTGTGTGTGTGTGTGTGTATAATGGAGTCAAAGAGGAGAATGAGTAGTAGAAAAAGATATACATATAGAATTCTATACATTTAAAAATAATTATATAATCTAAGTACCAGAGAGCCACAATTCAATAACATCAAAAAAACTACTGGTCTTAAAGGGACTTAGGATACATAAATGACAAAATAAGAAAAAAAAATTGTTGTTTTTAAAAATCCACACTATAAATAATGAACATACCAAGAAAACTGAACGTTGGGCTTCAGATAACATAGGGAAAAATCTTGGTAAAGAAACATAAAATGAATGAAACTCAATGATTAGTCTCATATATCTGATTTAATCAAGTTGTAGAAAGAAGGAACTTAGTTCATAAGCATATTTTAATTTGATAATTACATTATTAAGTCATGGCAGTTTACCAACTTAAAGCCCTCTTGACCACAAATCGAGAGTGTTAAACTGAAAATGCTGAATACCACAATTAGTATTACAATGTTTAAAGGTTGTAGCAGTTGAGTTACATATTCAAAAAACACCCACTGAACACTGTAACTGATCATCCTTACCTCTTTAGGGAGCAAAGAAATAAAGTCTCTTTGAAACTGGGGTTCTATCACTTGCATCATATGTTTCACTTGCGTTGGTTCACAACTATCAATGAGTTCATCTAAAGCAAGCAATTTCTCTGGTCCACTCCAGCTCTATCAAAGAGGAATTAGAATTTTTTATTATTTTAACAGATGTTCCAAGTTAGAAACTCATAAAGGAAAAACACACAACCACACTTGAACAAAGTAAGCAAGCACTCTGTATGTTACAAAGTGGCTGCTTATATCACATTTTCTTCAGAATCCACTGAAGTGATATGATTTAGTCTGAAGTTTACTGTTTTTTATATTATCAAAGCTTTAAAAGTCATGAGAAAATATTTTTGTATTACATTATGATGATAGTTATTTGTTCATCTACAACTATGATACCATTGAGATACCAAAATTTTATTCCAGAAACATCAATTTGGGTAACTGAGTACATAAGGAATTTTGACTAATTTTTCTTTCTCTATATTCTTTCTAGTGGGCACCATTAAATTTGATGGTTTCCATAAGACACTCACCTAAGAGGAGACTGACAGCATCATTTAGAGAAGAACTAATAACTGGATATTCTGCGTATCTGAGAAGTACTTCTCACAAATAAAGGGGATTTGATTTGTCTTATGAAAATAATTTCAGATAAAAACAGCAAATAATAGAAAATAATAGCTAACAGTATTATTGAAAATATAAGCAAAGGCCAAATGAGAATAAGAAACAAAATGTTATTACCATAGAAAAACAAAAACATTATTATACTTTAAAAAGGACATTAAGGGATTTTTTTTTTAATTAACACCCCCCGCCCCGCCCCCCACAGTGAGGAGCACCTGCATAGAAAAGCCAAGATTCTCATAGAAAAACTTAAAACCCATGCAAATAAAAAAAAATGTTAAAATTTAACAATAATCATGCAAAATATTTAAATAACTAAGGATACTTAAGTGAAAAAACACCCTTGGGTGAACCTTTGCTTCTGTAAATCTATGCCTGCTTGAATACCTTTGTGAATTATAATGTCCATTTCAGAAGCAGAGTGAATAGAGAATAATAAGTGAGGTTTGGAGCTAGAAAGATCTGCATTTTGATACTCCATTTCTTGGATTTTGTTATATTTGAAATACTGAGATATATTAAGCATCCAAAAAGCCTTACTCAGAATATTTCCTAAAGCAATTTTAAAATATTTACACTTTTAGAATTTATAATGAACCTGTCTTCTTTCCTATCATTAAGTACAGATTATGGTAATACTATGAAATATTTCAATAGTATTTAGCTATTTCTATAATATACTCCATTTCACCACCTAATATAAGGAACCACAGGCTCCAATAAATTGTGTTTTTTTTTCCCTTTTACTTCAACATATATGTTCGGAACATTCATCAAATATGTACCTTATATACTTTTTGGTCAGAGTGAGGATTTACACATAAAAATGAAAAACACTACATACATGTGTTCACACACACGGTCAATTACAACCATCTAAGAATTTTGTTGGTTTCCCTCATATAACTTTAAACACTGACCCAAAACTTGCCTATCTGACAATCTGATCAATTTCTACTCATCTCTGACCACTCAGCACCCACAGTGTAGACTCACTGACTTATTGATGTACATCCCTTGCAGGATTTGCGGTGGCTTTTTATAATGTGTTTTCCCTCAAATCTACATCATAGGGGTTTGTGGACACTGCTACCATAAGGACATGCCCATTTCGGGTGATGGAAAAGTCTGCTGACTTAATTAAAATGTGGCTTTAAAGGAAGGCATTTGATAGAATAATTTTAGAATAAATCTCTGAATCTTCACCTATATGAATGCCTGCTTTAAAAATATTTTTGGATCTGTTCATGATTAAATTTTGATTTAAGTGGCTGGGGCTGTATGTAGCTCAGCGGTAGAACACTCGCCTAGCACATTCGAGGCCCTGGGTTTGATCCTCAGCACCACATAAAGATAAATAAAATAAAGGTATTGTTTCCAACTACAACTAAAAAATAAATATCTAAAAAAATTTTTGATTTAACAACCAAGACATTCCATGGAAATTTCTATAGTAAAAAGACAGAGAAAAATCTTTCAATGTATTTACTACTTTAAATGTTAAACAGGTATGCATTTGATTAATAAATACTATATCTAATTTAAGGTAATAAGCTATACATGTTCAATGTTTTTTTTTTTCCAGTTAATGAATTATTGATTTTTAAAAGAATAGAAAAATAATATCAATACAAAGTATATGATGCTAATAGAAGAGAAATATCTTTTATCAAATCTTTTAATAGACAGGTGTAGAATAGAATAATAAACCAGAATAGAAGATAAATAATTCAGTTCTTAAGTAAATGTTTGAAATTGTGTCCGAAATTTCTATATATTTAAGAGAAAGTTCATGAAAAAAAATTATGCCTAGATAGCAAAATGTCTCTAAGAGTAAACAGTATTTTGGATAATATTTTGATTTGAAAGAATATTTGACTTAACAAGAGTCAAATGAAATTTAAATTATGTCTCAATTCAAATTACATACACATTCAGTAAATGTTACTTTGAGCTAATTTATTGAAAAATATATCACTTACAAGGATGAGGAACATAAGCTATAACTATAGTAAATGAAATTTACTCCTCCATCTTTCCTTCTAAATCTCCACTTCCATAGTCTTGCTAGGTTCAGTAAAACACAATTCTGTTCTACAACTTGCTCAGGCCAAAAACTAGAGTCATCCCTGATTCCTCTTTCTCTCTCATCAACAGATGGCTCTGACCCAAATAAATTCTGTGGCCTCAAACATCAAAACACACCCAGAATCTGACCGTTATTACATGGTCTAAGCCGTAAGTATCCCTCACCTGGACTGTTGGCATAACCCCATGGCTGCACTCCCAGCGTCCTACCTCTGCCCTGCTCCTTCTATTCTCCACTCAGTACTCAGTAATCCTCTGCTTCAAACCTTCTACTGGCTTTCCACTTCAGTTAAATAAAAAGTCTTTGCTTGGCCCACAAGGTTCTAATTTCCTACTCCTTTTCCTCTTATTTACTTTTTCTGCCACACACATTCTTTCTAGGCCTCAAACACTCCAGGCATGCTCTGCTTCGGAGCCTTTCACTTGCTGTTCCCTGTCACATTCTACTCTAGATACCTATAAGGCGGCCTGCCTGTCTTCTTCCCATCCTCCCTTCCTCTCTGCCCTCCCTGGGCAACCTTTTAAAATCGGAAACCAGTTCTAACCCTTCACCCAACTCCTCCTGACAAGAACGTAAGTTCCATGAAAAGGCAATTTTTTGTCTGTTTGTTCACTATTGTAACCCAGACCCAAAGTAGGGGCTGGTGCAAAATATGCATATTTTTTAAATATTTGTAGAATAGATGAATGAATCCCCACAGAGAAAGGGATTACTATACCAATGCTATCTCAAAACTCTCCAGAGAGTGCTTCTTTTCTTTATAGTTGATGGTAACACTAGGACTTGCTTGCTGTCTGTTCCAAAACTGCTTTCAAATTCCATGCATGATTGAGCAGCAAGGGAAGTATGTGTTAACTTGAAAACACTGCAGTTAATGACCATATTAATACAAAAAGAATAACCACACACAACAAACTTTTAACAATGAATAGTAGAAAGAACATTTTACTTAGGATTAGGAAACTAAACGTTGGCAGGCCTTAGTTTATCTGCAACTGATGAATAACTTTGATAATCATTATTTTAGTTTTATCTAAAAAGTGGTCCTCCTGGAAGAAGGAAAAAAAATTCACCTCTTTTGGCCTTTCATGGTAAACTTATGTGGTAGCATATTAAAGGGGATAGGAAAAACATTCCAGGTTTAGAAAGGATCAAGAGAAACAAATTTTAATTTGTGGGCAAAACTGCAAATACAAATTTGAAAATTTCCCCATAGAAATATCATTTTATTTTAGGAACTGGAGCACACAAGTAATACAGAAGAGTAGTAGGGGCAGGGAAATGTAACCAGGAGCCCAAACTTTACCAGTAAACTCACTGTGCAAGTGGATGAAGTTTCAGAAACTCCACCTACATTATAAGGGCTTAGTCTGGACCAGTGGTCCCCCAAAGCTGACCAATGAGTACAGGAATCACATAGTCCTACAACCTACCACCTGAGAGTCTGCTTCAGTGGTCAAGATACAGCTGAGGATATTTATTTTTCTAAAAAAGCAACTCATCCATGTTGGTATAGGTGATCCTTATTGCCCTAGTCAGGTCCAGGCCTGAATTGCATGTGGGAAATAACTGACTTCTATAGTACTTCCACCATTCCACTGTGGGCCAGTTCTAATTTTCAAGTTCTACTTAACATCAAAATCTGACCCAGAGAACACAACACAGGTTTTATTTTTTGAAGAAACCAAGAATCAGCCTCTTTCTACTTTTAATACAAAAGTATTTCAAATATTCAAGACATATGAAATTCTCCTTTAGTCTTTTCTGGTCAAATACATGATTTTCTTCAACTCACCCACATAAGGTTTAACAAGGTTTCTCATATTATAACTAAAAAAATTTCAAAGTGAACTTAGCCTCTTTGGGCACTATCCTGTAGGTTTTAATCTTTTGTTGATTAGCAAACAAGATTTGTATAAAATACATCAGAAGATATATACAGCTTCTATGTTAGCATGAAACTTGATTAAATCCTTCAATTTAATAGGGTTGACTCCCATTTAGATATCAAAACAGAAATACTTTATATTTTATCATTTTTATTACTTTGAGTGTAACATCTTTTCAAAAGACATTTATAGCTTCAATGCAAATATGCTTTGATTAAAATACTTTGAAACTAATGACATTTATACAATGTTAGAGTTCCTCCACATATTTCTTTGATCCTCATGGTAGGATGTGAAACTACTATTTTTGACAGCCCGTTTTAAGACCAAGAAAACTGAGGCCCACAAAGGCTGTATCTTGACCAGTGGAGAAAGCTAAACTTAATGGTCTCCACTGTAATTCCAAGGACAGCTTTAAACACACCTATATGTTTTCTTCCTTTTGATAAATTCATAGTGTTATATTTGTTTTATGGAGTAAAAATATAAAGGGAAGAGTGGTTACATAACATCAATAAAATTACCCAGTTATTAAGAGGCAAAGCCAAAATTGGAACGAAGAGCTTTTCCATCTAGGTCATATATGCTTATTCTTTCAGGATGCCTGGGAACATAAATTTTACCAAAAAAAAAAAAAAAAAAGAATGTTCATGCCATTAGTCTTCACCTAGTCTAAACACTTCAAGTGAGAAACCATATATTAATACTCAAAGGATATAAATAAACCAAAAGACCAACTATCTCCCTCAAAATTAACAATCTGAAGCTTCAATTTGGCTGCAAAATAAAAGTAGAAAGTAAATCCATGACTACTGAAAATTCAAACAGTAAAACTTGTTTTTGTTTTTTTTTTAATTTTTGTCTTTAATTTGCACTTCTATTTTGTAGTAGCACTGTGTTTTAATTTCCTCTTATCCATGATGGTGTATCATTTGTTCCCATTTGATATACAAATTGAGTACACAATACTTTTGTTAGAATAGATGGAGCTGGACCCAAACAATGCTGTATCACTGCCTTAGGAGCAATAGGAGGACAGTAAGAGTACAAGATCTCCCATTTTGTTTGTTATGAAACAGACAAGTCATCATTAAATGCCACCACAGCATATCTGTAGAAATCATGCCAGTTTAATTATCCCTCAACTGTACCACATAGGTCAATTCATGACTCCCCCACTTTACTATGAAATTATATCTACCTATAAGTTAGGCACTAAAGCATTGTAAGCCTTTAGGTAAATGATTCATTTCTAGTTACTTTGGTATCAGCCCTAAAAAAGGGGGGCAATCTATGACAATGAAGTTCTGGGTGTGTCATAAGACACACATGGTACTGAGAAGATTAAGGTCCTGATCTACCTGTCAAATTGTTCTTTATTGCTATAGATTTGATTGCTAAATAATATTTATCTTAAAAAAATTATGGTTCTTTATCTTTGAGGATAATTCCATGTTATTCCTGTTAATTAAGAACAGGTTTTCTTCACTGTACCTACTTCTCAAATGAACAAATACTTTTATTGGGCCAAAAGCTGGCTAGCACTCTTTAGTTTATTGAGTCTCATTGATTCTACAAAACAGTTTCTCATTTTGGCTTTTACAATTAATGTTTCTGAAATTGGGATCTATAGAGTCTCAGATTTGATGAAATATAGCAAGTGGTAACATTTGGACAATTGATAAAGGAGAGCATAAGCTAACTGAACAAACAAACATTGTATCAAAGAACTCTCTCAAATATCCTTACTGCAAAATAAAACATAAATGCCCTAAACTATAGATCAATATTAAAGAGTTCCTTTAAAATCGGCAAATATCCTAACTGGTTTGCAAAAAATATTTTGGTACTTTAAAACACTGGAAAAAAATGGGCCTTATCACATGAAAATAAATCTTAACTCTAAATAACCTTCTAAGAAATAAATCTTTTCACATACAATCAGAAGCTGTCCACAATGATGATAAAACCATTGCTAATCGGGTAATTTTCAATCATGTTAGTATATTCTTGCAAAAATGATATGAATCCGGCAGAATTACACCTGTAATCCTAGTGACTAAGGAGGCTGAGGCAAGAGGATTGCAAGTTTAAGGCCAGCCTTGGCAACTTAATAAGACCCTCTGCAACTAAGCAAGACGCTGCCTCAAAATATAAAAATCAAAAGGACTGGGGATGTAGCTCAATATTAAAGTACCCCTTGGTTCAATCTCCAGTACAAAAAAATAAGAAATCAGCTCTGCAATCCTCTTCAGTGCTGTATTGTAAACTGACATTCGCCTACAAGCATGGCAACACACACCTACACACCCATCTCCTGGCTTAATCAGAGACGATAGAAATCTTTAAATATTCCTTTAAGAATATATAAATGTCTTGTTCACCTAAAAAACTAAAAAAATAAATATTTAAAGGGGGGGAGGCGCTGGGGTTATGGCTCAGTAGTAGAGTGCTTGCCTAGCATGCATGAGGCACTGGGTTTGATCCTCAGCACCACATAAAAATAAAATATTGTGTCCACCTAAAAAAATTAAAAAATAAATATTTTTTTAAAAAAGAATATATAAATGTCTTGTGCTTTATTTTCAAATCTTATTGATGTATAAATTTCCTTTACAAGAATGGGACAAAATAAAACACTCAGAATTCTGGGGACAAGGGAAAAAATAAAAATTCAAAAAACCTGAACCTGAGGTAAAACAATGTAGGGGGAGGGCATGGGTAGGAATAATTCTTGCAGAAAAGGTATGTTTCATGAACAAATGACCATGAAAACTTACTTTAAAAAAAGCCACTTTGTAATTGCAGTGGGTTCATAACTTGTTTTGTTTTTTCTTTAGTACTGGAGATTGAACCTAGGGGTACTTTATCTCTGAGCAACATCCCAGCCCTTTTTAAATTAAAAAAAAATATTTTATTTATTTGTTTTTTGAGATAGGGTCTTGCTGTGTTAGTTAGGGCCTCATTAAGTTGCTGAGGCTTCCCTCAAACTTGTGATCCTCCTGCCTCAGCCTCCCAAGTCTCCTGGATTAGAGGCGTGCACCATTGCATCCGGCTTCATAACATTTTAATAAGAATTAAATATAACTTTAATTCCCTAACCCAGAGATTCTTAATCTTTGGACTGGATAATTCTTTGTTGTGGGAGGCTGTCTTTTATACTGCCTCCACCTTCTAGATAACAGCAGTGGCCATCCACCCCCACGGTTCTAACAACCACAAGTGTCTTCAGACACTGCTGTCTCAACTAAGGGAGAAGGTGAACCCTGTTGAATATCAGCGTTCTAAGCTTTCAGTTACCATCCTTCCTCAAATTGGCTATATCCTAGTGCTTCTGAAATCACTTGGAGGGTAGAAAACAAATTTTAAAATCCACTTAAAAGCAACATTGCTTTAAGTAAGTTTTCCACCCCCAGAAAAAAAATGAGACATTTATTCTGTTTTTGCCTAGGTATGTGAAATAGTAGGATTTACATAAGGTGACATCTTAAAAATCTGAAATAGCAAATTAAGTCAAATGAAGTATGTTTTTCAACTATTATTTCCCTGTGCATTCATTATGTACCCAACAATTCAAGCAGTCAGAAGTAGTAAAATATATTCATTTTTACATTAGTATGGTAGATAATATCAGATCTTCACATCATTTCTATTTACTGTTTGCAAAGAATAATTAAGCAAGTGCTTAATCCATGCCAACTATTTTGCTAAACACTTGATTCATATGCATTATCTCACAGGAAGAAGAGATAAATCAATTTAATATCACTATCTTAAGTCATAAAATTCATAATATTCAAGGTTTGGTAGCAACCAATCTACCCAGTAAATGTTCAAAGAATTTAAATACTAGTAAAAGATAGTTAGTGGAAATGGAGCATGCTGAGTCATATATACGCATGTCACTGATAAGAAGAAGATGCATTCATCAACTCCAGTGGGGTTATAGTGACAAATAAGTCACCTCCAGTGATTACTGGAGTTCTTAAATTAATTGAAAGTCCCTAATTTACAAGCAATGCAATTTAAAAAATAAGAGTACATTCAACAACCCAAGACCCAAACATGAATAAGAAAAAGAAAAATGGTCTTATTGCTTAATAATCTATAAAAATGCAAATGTACGTCAGAAAACAAGCCTTAGACTTTCTTAATTAGTACATTTAGAAATTAAAATGAGCTCCCTTATTTTTATAGCATTTTATTGAGATACATGTCACATAGATTCGCCATTCAAAGTACACACTTAGGTGGTTCCCAGTACACCCACCTTGATGTGTAGCCATCACCTCTATTATCTAGCTCCACAACACTTCTGCCATCCAAAGAAACTCTACACCTAGTACCAGGTAGTCTCAATCATCTTCTCCCCTCATTGCCTGGCCACCACTTATCTATTTTCTGTCTCTATGGGTTTGCCTATTCTGGATATTTCATATAAACAGAATCAACATGTGGCCTTTTGTGTCTGGTATCTTTCACTCAGTATAATGTTCCCTAGGCTCATTTTCAGGGTTACATGTAACTTCATTCTTTTTTATGGGTGAATGTCCCTTATTTTTTGTAGCAGTTAAGTAAAACATTTCAAGTAATGTGTGTACGAATGTTACCTGAAACATTTTTAGCCATTCCTGGAGGCCTGTAGGTGGTTGGACAGATGTAATCCGACGTCGTTGTTGCCCTTGGCCATTGGCTGCTCTCAGGTCCCCAAAAGTTGTTGGTGTTGCTGAACATGGCACAAGCCCAGTGGTACTAAAAAAAAAAAAAAAAAAAAAAAAAAAAAAAAAATATATATATATATATATATATATATATTTATTTATTTATATATTTTTATATATATATATACACACATACACACACATACATACATACATACATACACACACACAGTAGAAGCAAAGACATATATTTCTTAAAAATAAGGAATGCTTATTTAATAAAAAGGATGATGACCTGGGCATATTTCAAACATCAATCCAATTATTCCTTTTATTTGCTTATTCCCAGAGAACATGAGTACACAAAACCCATTTTGCTATTCTTGGAGCAAGTTTCCTCCCTCCTACATAACCACCTGTTATTATCCCAGCAATGCTAACTGCAACCAAATAACAGAATCTCTATGGCAAAACTGCAAGTCACAGATACATACATACAAATAATGGTAAAATATTTCCTTAGGGCTGTGGATGTAGCTCCAATTTAGAATATGTGCTTAGCATGCATGGGGCCCTGGGTTTAATATCCAGCCACAACCAATCAACCAATCAATCACATATTTCATTAGAATATACAGGCCCTCTTCTAAGACATAAAGTTTAAATTTTAAATTTTCTTTATAAAAAGGAGTTTGAGACTCTGTTTTAAAAACTCCAGTATATAAACAGAATATTCAAATGTTTTGGATATCACTAGTCAAACAATTCCTTAAGTTTGCCCAGATGCCTTCATAATTATACTCTTAAGCTGTTGCTATCTAATTCTTAACTATTATTTATAAAGCTTGGTCTGATAGTTGATAAGAATCAGCCTTGATTAGATGTATAGTTATTCAAATTAAGTGTGAAGAACTTATCTGCATCTAGTATAAAATGAAAGAGGTTAAGACCAAATGACCTGTCTAACTCTCCTAAAAACAACTAATAGCAGGAAGAACATAGATATGCTATTGATATATTAAACTTTATTTTTAAATTTCTGTATCCAATTAAATTATTTACTCTCAAGGCAAATATTGAGCATTTCTGCATTTCTATTTTAGAGATATTACAAAAAAAAAAGGAGAAGATGGTTTAGTTTAGTTAACAAAATTACATTTCTAGACTAATCCTTAATTTCTTGAGTTATAATAGTGTTCTACATCCAAAAATCACATACGTATTGTATCATAATAGTCGAGTGTTAAGCTCTGTTAAATTACTTGTGACACAACTTCCCCAATGTTTTCTTCAATTTTTTGATATGAAATGTATTTGAATGTATTTTACATAAAAATCTTCATTCCTGTAATCTTTGAATCTTTGAACACACATTTAAGTTAATCTCTAATATTCAACAATTGTCTATCCTCTTTTCTTTTAAATTCAAAGGTAAATTCAGTTTTCTCATTCTCCACAATAGAATGTGCTTATAACTTAAATTTTCTAAGACAAAAAATAGAAAAAAAAAAGAAAAATCAGTTTCATTTTATTATCTGTGAAATATAAAACACCAAATACATACATTAGTAACTGACAAAATCTCCAAAAAAAGACATGGAAATAAATACGAAATATCCCATTGGGGCTAATTCTATGTTAGTAAATTTTATTTAAGAGTCAGTTGTTTTCTCAATAAAAAAGTGAACAATTAAAGACAAACTTTATGTGTTCTATGATAAAAATTCAACATTTATTTTTGATAAGCTGCCTTGAAACAAGTGAACAATTTAATACCTTTGTCCTAGTTTCAGCCATAGTAATAGAAGACCAAAATAATATGGCTTACTGGACTCTATACATTTATAAAAGACCATTTACAATTAGCTCAACATTCAACTCAACTTTCTCATCTAAGAAATACTTTATTAAGGTTAGAAGCAAAATGAAGTGAATAGTTTTGCTTGTCTCTCTATCCCTCCACACCCTCTGGTGGAAGTGCCAAAACAGTAAAATTGTCAAAAGGCAAGGAGTAAAGAGGGGGACAGTCAACATGAGAAAAATCGCACAGAAATGCAGCTCCTGAATAACTAAGAGACAGTTTTATTTTTAGCCTTTGCATCATCTCTCCTGTATTTTATATGTACAATTATTCTAATTATTATGATTTTGAAATTTCATACAAAAGCATTTGAAAGAAATATTTTCTATAACTGAATGAAATAAGAATGAATTGTTTCTGTAAAGATTCAGAGACGGTGGGAGGGGGGAGAAAGAGAGAAAATCTGTAATAATGTTCAATTTTTAAAAAGCCTTATATCTGGGCAATAATTTTTTTTTCACCTTACAGAACAAAAATAATTCTAAGTCAAAATACTTTGAGAAAAAGAAGGAACTATATTATAACCAAGGAGTTCTTAGGGTTCTTATTGCTATCTCAGGATCAGTTATTTGAAGTGACAATTATACAAAAAAAAAAAAAAAAAAGAGTTCTTAAGATACTTTTGTCATTTAAATTTGAAAATACAGCATTCCAAGTGACATCCAAAGCCATTTTTAATTGGCTGGGTAATAGATATTGTACTTAAGTTGGCCTAATTAGCGTGAGAGTGGGAAAAGTTTTATACTGATGCAAAATCCAAAAATGATGGACTGAAGCAGGAAACAAGACTACAATTGTATTTAGTTGTTATGGAAACTATTCTACTGGTGTAGAAATGTATGTGTTAAGACATAAGACCTACCAAGCTAATAAAAGGGAATTTCTAACACATTAATTTCATGAAATAAGATTTAGTTAGTAACTGGGGTGTTTATTTCACTGCTAATAAATTTATCTCCAATTTTGTGAATATAAATATCCATCTTAGAACAGTTGTTGCTATAGTAACAAGATACATTTGCTCATGTTCATATTTTATGATTTACATTTTAGAATTCCTTCAAAATTGTGATTTTAAAATTTTGTTCACAAGAGAACCTCTACTCATCTTACTTTAATGTATTAATAACAGAATATAAATTATGGTGGTAGTTGTTCCTCCCCCTATTTAAAATGATATATTTCCCAATTTTCAGTAACTTTGAAGTATGTTAAAGAGTCAGTAGTACTGTTAACATTATTATTCTATGGGAATAAACTGAAAGAGATACTTTCAGAATTATCAGCTTTAAAAGATATGAGAACCACAAGAGAATAAATTATTATATTTAATATTACCTTGTATATTCTGAGACTTTGCATGGTTTCTTTCCCAAAGAAAAGGAGCGGACCTCGGAACCATGGTCCAACTTTCTTTTCATCTATAAGGTAAAACAAGATATACTTTTAAAAAAATCACCAGTCGAACTATCAAATCTTGAGTTAGCACTGTTAATATAAAAAAAATTCTTTAAAATTTCATATGTCTACAATGGAAATTAGGTAGTCAATTAATACAGAAAATAAGTATTTCTTGGTTTCCTCTATTTGTTCTACTTTGTTTTATGCTTACAAACTGGAAATATATATCCCCCCACGCTCTTATGTTCTAGAGAACAGCGTATGGTGATTTAAAAATTGACATTCATCATACATATTCTTCAGGAGTAATACCTTTCATGTTTTTCAGTTTAACAACCGATATAAGGAGAAAAATCTCATGATAATCCATACAGAAAAGAACCACATTTAACATGCCTTCCTCATTGATCTTCATTTTTCCTTAAAAACATTAAGAAATAACAAAATTCAAAATTTCAAAACCAAAAATGAGAATGGAAACTGAATTTTAAACACCCATATCATTACAAAAGGGTAAAGAAAGCACTGAAAATAGAATAATCTTAAATACAAATCATACTAAAGCATAAAGTAATTTATATGGGCAATAAGATCAGTAAAAATGGTAAATCCATAACCAGAGAAATCTGGAGATGGTACAATGCAGCTGAAGAAAAAAGTCATCAATTGCTATATACAAAGTATAGCTCTACTGACAGTCCGGACAAATATGTTAACTTGAAACAACAACAAAAAGATTTGAGGAAAATGAATTACGCTTTTTATAAGACACATCCAACGTTTATATTTTTAAGGTGTTTCATTATGCCATGAAACACTATAAATATACTCAGGATTGTATTTTGTCATATCAATATTGAAATATTTTTATATTTCACTATCAGTCAACTGGGGTCATATGAACATATGCTTATTTTTAAACTAGAAAATAAGATCTACTAAGAGTCAACTTTTCTCTAATTTGACAACTTCTTTCAGATTTGCATCCACTCATTTATTAACTGTATTACTACAAGTTGGGGGGAACACCTAGAGTGACGTGTAGCTATCCTAATTTTGATAGTAGGGTGAAAACCCTTATTTTGCAGTAGTCTTAGTTTCCTACCTATTGCCTCATAGGAACACCATAACTCAACATGATACAGTGTAAATACTACAGAGAACCAAAGAGACTCTAAAAATCTTTTTGGACCACACTGGATAATAAAGATTTCGTTTTTATCATTATGAAGACGTCTTCTAATCAATACAGGATGATTTTATGATACTAGGAGTAAGAGGTAGGGGTACAACCAGCTTATCCACAATTTATGCCTTAATTCATGAAATACATATTGGAAAAAAAAATAGCCTGGTTTCTTCCCTTCAGAAGTTTCTTACTCGTTACATTGTTTTAAAGGGATTTCTCTCAAAATCCATTATTTTCTTTTCCTAAGTAATTGCATTAAAAAGCAAATGTCTATATAAATATAATATAAAAAGCTATAATACATAAGTAGCCACGTGCTTCCATGTATATAATTTATAGAAATATACATACACATTCACAAATGAATCTACCCGGAAGGTCAGTCAGTACAGATTACCTTAAAATCAAGTTTTTTGATAACTTTCACAGATTATCTTCATAAATACTATGAGAAACTCTGATATTCATTCTAATTAACTTTGTAATACTGGTTTCAGAACTTCCCAGGATATCTTGTAAATACATTGGTGCAAATGCCATTTGCCACTAAAAGCAAACTTTATTTCCATCTTAGAAATCCTTCAAAGAATAAAAATGTACAAAAAATATGTATGAAGGAAACCTCTGAAAAAGAATTTTATTTTTATTTTATAAAATAAAGCACCTTCTCAATGACCATAAAAGTCTTTTAAATACTGTACTGTTTACAAAAAATACTGACTTTAGAATCAAAAATTAATTCAATTTTTTTGAGGGGAACAGAAAGTAAATATGACCTCTCTAAATATAAATACCAAATATTCTAATGATTCTACACACTAAGAATCACCTAATAAAAAGATAAAAATATGTATATGATGTATAGAAAAAAATTGAAGGCAAAAGGTTCACTAAAAACCAACTAAGGATAGAGTATTTCCAGGTCAGCATTAAATGGTGCCACATTTCTAAAGTCTGAATGTATTTTTAGTGAAAAATTTTCAGATTCAAATATACATTTTATTTTAAATATAAAGCTTCTCCCAGCTCATGCTGTCTTTCCATTATTCGCTTACATTCATGAAATAAAACAGAATACCAGACATCCAGCCACCCACCAAAATTAGAGGATACTGCAGCCATCTCTGATGATACAGATTTTCCTTCTCAGGCAGGCACACACACACACAATCACACAGCACAGGAAGAAAACAGATTACTTACTTTGTAAAAAATCATTTTTAATGTGCCGTAGAAACCCATATTTTCTGTATTTTTTCCCTTCAGTGATTCTGTGCCCCCGTGTGTCCGGCTGCTTGGCAGTCTCTGACAATATAAACCTTTTTCAGGTAGGTATGTCACAGATTCTAATGTGGACATGCTCAGGCACGTCAGAAAAGGAAGATTAGGGAGCAGAACCGGCAACAAAACTCCACAGTAAAGGCAAATGCAGCTCAGTATCAAACCGCTTCTCGGGACACACATACATACATGCAGCTTGACTGAGAAGAACTCGAGGGAATAATGAGAGAGAACGGAGAAGATTATTGGAGGAGACTATGCCCTGTCAAAGCCTTGACTGAACAGATTCCTCCCTCAGCAGCAGAGGGATCAGATTACATCTTCCCTTGAACACAGAATGGTGCAGTCCAGGATTCAGCAATGCAGACTGCACATCAATTATATGGTGATCCGCTCCAGGGAACCCGTAAGCACACAACGCACCGAACAGAGGGAGGATGTGGGCAGCACAGAGACCGCCCCCACATGACAGCCCACTCACCCCTTTCAAACTTTCAGGAGATTATTTTTTTGTATTTTGTGAAAACTGCGTTTTTGAAGAGTTTTAAATAACAAGCAACATTTCCATAAATAAGTCCTTCCAGAAACATTTTGAAAATGAAATATATTTTCATACAGCTCCCCCGACCATCCCTGCCCCAGCAGTGGCAAGGCAGGCTATTTTCATTAACTGTCATTCTACTGTAGTTCTGGCATAGACTGATGAGATTTTTCGAGGAGCTTGGATGGGTACAAAATGGGCAATTCCAAAGGGAAAAATTAAATATCCTTTGGGGAAACTGACAATAAGGTAAACCAGTTTGGTGCATATAGCATTTGCAGAATTATGTAATATAAGTTCTACTTCAAGTTGCATGTCTCTTCTATTAAGATTTCCTGAAAATATTCCCTAGGTTTTTCCATTTCATTCTGTTAAATAGAATTTTCAAGAAAACTACCACACATGTTACCAGCTCTCAGCAGTAATCATGAGAATATCTTTTTAAGACAAACAAATCAAATGTAAAGTTTGTCTGCAAGGCTACTTTCTTCAAAGGGAGCAAAAGCTGTGCTCATTGGAGAGGCTCACACTAATTTAATCTTGAGCAAAGAGGAGACGCTGGACTTCTACTTCTAAAATTATTTGGACTCTGTGAGTTGCTTATCATTAAAAAGGCATTTTACATAATAATAAATGTACCAAAGTTTGCCTGAAGGCAACATTTTTCTTAGAATGACTACTACAATCTAGATATTTCATCTTGCAACTTGCTACACAACTAGCTTCAGAGGCAATTACAAGATTTTTTTGGACTAGAAAGGCCCATTATTAAGGGTCTAGTTAATTAACTCCTACCCTTCCCATTAGTGTTCTTCATTACAAGTAACCTATGTGCCTATGGTTATTTAAAGTACTTAGAAAGTTTCTTCAGAAAAAAAGAATAAACTATTTGGACTTTAATAAATTTTAATACTCTGCTATGATAGGAAATTACTTTCCTTATTAAAATGATTCCAAATACTGCATAAAATAGAATCATGATTTAAAAACTAAATGTTTATGCCTCTATTACTAAAACATTAAAGAATATAAAACTTATGAAGATGCACATTTTAGATCTTCTCCTGGAAATTATATCCTATTGTCTATTATTTTTTTAAAAAACTCCACCTGGCTCTTAAATTGATTCTTCCCCTCAGAAACAATATGTACACATACTCAGAAGTTAGTTTTCTAAATAATCAATTAGCCCACTTCACAGGGAAATTATTTTTTAATTGAAATCTCTTTCTCTAAGCAAAAAAAAAAAAATCTAATTGTTAGGAAGAGACTCATAAACCCTTTTTATTAGAGACTTTAGGACATTCATGATTTGGGAAAGGAAAAAAAGAAGAACAATAATGATTTTCTTCCCTGTCCAGGGCTATGTGAAGAAAAGTATACAATGAATACGGTGAAATTTCCTCTAGAATTTGTCCATGGTAACTTGTCATAAGACTACAAAGTAAATACTTTGACTCAAATGAAATCATGTTCTATCTCTAGTTGAACTAATCATTTCAAAGTCTACCAAGTTAAAAACTGAGACCAACTTTACGAAAGTAAGGAAGATCCTCTCAAAACCTTGGATGATGTTTAAAAAGAAAATCTCTCTTGATTTTGTATCTTCAAAGGAATGTTCTCATGGTTACATGGCTTCTACTTATGTCTATGAAGACACAGGAAAACCTCCACAAAAGTTTGCTTATATGTAGGTATGCATACACATATTTTGTTTTTGAGTGGGTAAAATATTTACATGGGTCAAAATTTAAAATGATACATACAAAAAACCCTACACGTTAAGAAGTTTTTTATATCCTCCATTTACCAAGGTTCCGACTTGAAAATGATTTTTATTAATATGTTTACCGTTTAAGTGAGAAATGTATATGCTTTTAATTACTAAGAAATATTATTTTCCCACATATTTAAACAATTCCCCCTTGTATCTTGTTTACAATTTTAATTTAAATGTGAACAAAGAATTTGCCAAACAAAGCTGGTCAACTAAGCTTCTAACTGGACTT